ATTCCTTGAGGTGTTTTTCAAATTGCGGGATTGTAGTTGACTTTGCACACATCCAAAATTGCGTGCGACAATCATTTCTCCCATTCTTCTTGCACCAATTTGCATAGATATGTCTTGCACATCGTTGGTGCTCAGCCGATGACATCTCCTCCTCCAGTACCTGCACAAGCCCCTATAGCAAAATACATGATATCATCATATATATAATGAGGTAACAATATGGCACACATGGAAAATACAAAATGAAGGAAGATTAATCACATTACCTTCTGTTGATTTGAGATCACTGTATATCCTACACCATCCTTTGTGCCAAGATCGTTCTTTAAGGCCTCTACAAACCAGCCCCATGAATCCTTATTCTCGACCTCAACAACGGCCCATGCGATAGGGTACATTTGATTATTTGCATCCCTCCCCACAGCAGTCAATAACTCACCCTTCAACATTCCTTTTAAGAAACATCCATCTAACCCTATCAAAGGTCTGCAACCTTCAAGGAATCCCTTTCTCACGGCATCAAAGCAAACATAAAATCGTTGGAAGATGAGTCTTGAATTTGGTGATTCTCTTATAAACTTTACCTTCACAGTATTTCGAGGATTTCTATGAATAATTTCTTCATAATAATTCCACAACCTATTGAACTCATAGGAGTACATCCCGTTTAGTTTTTCGATTACCCTTCGCATAGTCCTTCTACACTGGCTTATGGTGACATCTAAGCTCATTTGCTCTCGCACAATTTTCTTGAACTCCTGCAACTTCATTGAAGGAGCTACCCTCCACAAACTTTGATAATGCTTCGCCATGTACGTAGATGTAAACCTCCTCACTTGAAAAGACCAAGAGCACGTGTGCTCATCTTTGAAAGTTTTCACTGTAAACAAGCTTGTCTTATTATCTCTAGCTGCATAAATTAACCAGTTACAATTTTTAGCTTTACATTTGGCCCTAACTCTCACCTTGTCATTCTTGATAAAATCAATATTAACTCTTCTGGTAGCTGCATATTTGTTGATAGCTTCCTTAAACTGCTTAGGGCCATCAAATACCATATTTAGTGCAAAGTGAGGTATCTCTGTGGTTTCATCAAACTGTGCATGTGTGCTTTTCCTTCTAACGGCCTCCTCTGTCTCTAGTTCATCTTCATCACTCGTGACAAAGCTCCAATTAGAATCACTTGAGTCAAAGCATTCAGTCTCAAGCTCAACATTATCTTCACAATGGGTTGTTATAGCCTCTTTCCTCCCCCATCTTCGTCTTACTTCAACATCTATTTCACTAGGTATCTCTAGCAACCTAGCAACTCTATATGCATTTTCTCCCTTAAAAGTTCTAATTTTTCCCCTAGCCGCTTGAAGTTCTTCTTCTTCATTGTCAGATAACCATGGGACCTCAATCGATTTCATGATTTTGCCCATCAATAGGCATTAAAACTCCTTCATCTTCTTCGACGTTCATCAATCCCCCCACTAACCCATCACCAATGCCAACACTCACGTCTTCACCATGTTCAATAAATATCTCACATGTACCGTCAATATTTGCCCAAAGTCGCATCATTTCCTGTACTGAAGTGTCATCTTCAATTAATCTTAGACTATTCTCAAAATTCTTACCCGGCATTAAATAGTGGAATTTCTCAATATTAGAGTAACCCATATCTTGTACCAAGTGTAAAATCTCAAAGTAGCTCAGCTTGTCTGGATCATAGAGCCACTCACTACTATGACCATCAACATACTCTACTATTCTATCACGAACAAACCTACCTCCAACCCATAGAGTAAATCGGAATGTTTCATCAGCCATGTAAATTTGCAAAAAGATAAACATAAAAATCAGCTAGACTAAAAAAGATAAAGGACACCAGCCAATCTATTTCTATTGTTTATACAATATAAACAAATAAACACCAAAAGTATAATCTAAAGACAAGAAAACAAACACAAATGAGGGCCGCGTCTGAAAAGCCAGGAAAAAGCTACAACCTAAAACTACGGCAAGTTGGGACCACATTATAACAAAACTTACTGTGCACTCGATATTGTTTTAATACTCTCATAGGGCATTGCAAAGCACAACATGCACAAATAAACTATTCCCATTTTACATCATGACAATGCTTCGATCGAGTCGGATAAACCGTGCATTATCATCTTCGAGAAAGCCTTTGTTAACCCATTTTCAAGAAAGCCCTAAATAACCCTAAATAAAAGCCATGGAGGAGCCTGTAGGACACGTCGTCCTTGTAAAACTCCCACGTGTACAGACCCGAGTCTTCATTGGAAGCATTACGCACGAGACAACATACCGGGCACAGAGTAACGTCTTCCGTGTGACAAGATATGGGTTTTAGCTTCAGGTGTCAAATTGAGTCTTCATCTCCACTTTTTGTTCTTTTTCTTTCTTCGACTGTTGTACGCCTTCTTGCGTTTTTGTTTCTGAAATTTTGGTCAGTCAATTTTTTTGCTTCTAAGAAGCAAGTCCTTCAACCCACAAAAAAGAAGAAGAAGCAAGTCCATCGACCCAAAAAAAAAAAAAGAAGCAAGTCCTTCGACCCACAAAAAAGAAGAAGCAAAATTCCAGAACCAAAAAAGCATACCAAACACAAACTTGCGTTCAAGCTATAAAGAACACGAGCTCTTCCGATATTTCAATTCTTCGATGCTCACACGGTTCTCACTTCCTTCCCTCGTTTTGATTTCTGATTGAGCGGATCACGCACAGGCAGTGGCGCGTCCTCCAAGACCCCAAGATTCAAATCGTCGCCGAGATCGACCTCAACCCAACCTTCCTCGTTTCAGTATCGATCCCCAAGCATTTTGAGAAGTCTGATGTTGAGAGGAAGAAGAATCGTTGAAGAATCGTGGAGGAGGAAGAAGAGGGTTATGTGAAGCCCTAATTTGTTTTTCTTTTGTAAAATACTTGCTGGATCATTATTTAGTATTTAGAAAATCCAACTCAGCTCCATATCATCAGTTAACGGTTCACGTCATCAGTTAACGGTTTGAGCAAACGGAAGGACTAGACTGAACATTTATCCATAGTTCAAGGACTATTTTGGACAAATTAAAAGTTCATGGACGAAATTGAACATTGAACCAAAGCTCAGGCACTATTTGTGTCAATTTCCCTCTATATATCGTTTATTAAATAAAAATCTAGTCTGTGCGATTTCCCAGGGATTGGATTGAGAGTCTCCGCTGTGATGATATGTAATTTTAATTTTTTCTCATATTCTCTAATATCACGAATAAAAAATTCTCTAAATTTATAAGTAACTACTGATAAAATGGGATCATTGAAATAAGATTTCCGAGACACCACCCTGTTATCTAGAATATAAATTGGTAACTTAAAACAAGCGAAGCGTTTGTTTGGCTAACCAAAGCATTACTACTCTCTTTTTTAATGATGGTCGGTGGGGGTTAAGCAGAGCATGTGCGCAACGCAAATGGAACCCTCTTCTTCGTTCCATTGACAAATCTCTCTCTATTTCCATCCACGCTAGTGCTAGTAGTATACTGTAATCCCGTTCGGTCGTCCTCCTTGGCGTGTTTATCCTGGGGATTCTCGAGAATTCGAAAAAGCAGAGGAAGAAGAAAGAGATTCGACGGTGGGAAGACACGCCCCCACCCACCCCCTTCTCGGATAAAGCAAAAAGTTGAACATCTCTAGAGAAGAAGGGGCCGAACAAGCAGATCGGATTGTACTCGCTGGGAATTTTGATCGGTACGGATGTGCAATTCGTTCTCGTTTGTTGCGTTCCTATTCGGCTGAGTTCTGAATGAGTTTTCGATGATGGGTTGTTGTTCGCGGATGAGTGTGTGTGTGTGTGTGAGAGAGAGAGAGAGAGAGAGAGAGAGAGATGGACAAGAAGGGTCCGGATGAGCTGTGTGCCGTGTCATTCAGAATAAGATGATGGGTTGTTGTTCGCCATCTCATTCTCTCCTCCTTCCTTTTCAAGGTATATATGTAAGTAGTAGATATGTGCTGTGTGCATTTGCTACTCCTGCACCCACGATGATAATTAGATCACACACCTACCCATAACACACTGACCGAGTGACGATGGCTCTTCCAGATTGTTGCGGTGGGATATGCCGTCCTGACGACGACTGGGTCGGTGGATCTTGACCGGAAAATGAGGGCTTTTCGGGTCTTACCCATGTTCCTCTTTGCCTGCTCCTCTTATCTTTCGCATCTTATTCTGCTCTCGTCAGCTTCGCAGGAATGTGCCAGTGTCTCCAACCAAAATGTTTTAAGCCTTTTAAGTAGCTTCTCATTCTTGTACAGTGTACACTACTCTTTGTCGTCTTCATATGGTTTCAGATTTTGCACTGTCGTTGTTGCATTGCTTTTCGAGAAAATGTACATCATCGATTTGCAAAAGTTCACTAGGAAGCAGTTGTTTTAGCGGTTGGGATATCGATGACGAATGTAAAGTCGGGCCATAAATTTCTGATTTGAAATGAAAATAAGAGAGGTAGTTGAGTTGTTCAATAGTAGGTGGGCAATACGGATGGCTCTTATCCAAACCTAAAGGCTGCGTTTGGTCGTCCGGATTTCTAAACAGGATAGGACTGGATAGGATAGGATAAGAAATCCTGGGATTTCTTCATATCCTATCCACTGTTTGGTGAACTACGGATTTAAAGTCGGATAGGATAAATTTTTTTTTTTTTTGCTATTCACGGGTCCGGAGAAGTCAGTGAAGAAAAAAAAGCCGAGAAATTTTTTTGATGAAAGCGCACAAGGTGTGGGGATGAAGATGACAGCGAGTGGAGCGTAGAGTTTCTGGAAAAATAGGCATTAGAAATCCTATCCGGGTCTATCCTACCCCCTCCCCCCGGATTTTTTTATCCGGGTTATATCCGGTCTATATCCGACCTTATCCTATCCTGGACCACCACCAAACACAGGATAGGATAAAACATATCCTATCCTGGCTTTTATACGGTCGACCAAATGCAGCCAAAGAGTAAAGAACCGCAGAGAACGAGAATCCTTCCGGCATAAGCAAATACAAATTTACTTAATACTTTTTCCTCCTCATCACGACATACTTGGGAAACCCTTGAAATTTTTACACTAGCTTCTTCTGGTACCATCTTCTGTATATCTTAGCGCCTTTGAATTCTGCATCGATTTCTCTCTCTGTTCGTATCTCCATTGGGTTTTTCGATGGCCATCCGCCCACACAGCACGAAATTGTCATATCGATCGAATCGACATGTTGAAGCAAATCGCGCCTCTCATCGAATAGATTTCTCATGTCAACAGCCACTTCGAGCACATCGGATCGTATGAATACCTACAATGATCACCGCTACGGTTAATAGCATGAGGCGTCAAAATTAGATACTTATTGTGGAACAAAATAAAATAATGAGTATGAAACTAGGGCACAACACAATCAAATAACCAATCCAAAAAAGAATGTGTAAATTATTAACTCGGTGAAATTGACCTACGAGAATCCCGACTTTGTCAAGATCCTCGAGCGAAGGGCCGAGAAAAGAGTGAAGTTCACATAATGGCTGCCTAGCTATCAACGGAAAGACGCGTATTGTACCAAATACTAAGACCACACCACATGCTTTGGCCATCAGATTGCTACCAGTGACATAAGCTAAAGATAAAGATACACAGAACTATTGCTATCGATTGCAGAACCAATCACTGTGGCAACAAGATAGAAGCTGTTTTGGCGGAAACATCGGAGGCCGCACCAAGAATGGACAAATTGATTAAAGAAGACTCCACATCAGGGGCATGGTGGATAACAGAATGGCCTGCAATTTTTAGTGATACCAAGATTGCAAGCTTATTCAATTCTTTAGCCATGTGAGAGAGGTTTGGATATGTAACCTCCGGATCATGTGCGATAGATATATGATCTATATTCTGAATAAATCGTGGATCCTAAGGCCCAGGACACCCGAGCATGATTTCCATAAATCTCTCATGCAGCAGACCATATCTCTCCAAGTAAAACAAGAAACATGTAGGTCTCTCGACCTCATTCCTTCGTAGTTACTGCACTACTCTCTCTCTCTCTCTCTCTCTCTCTCTCTCTCTCTCTCTCACGCACGCATGCACATCAAGTTCTCTCTGGGAAACCATGGGAACCGGACATCGTATCACATTTGTACTTTGACCAGTTGACACTGTTCCCATATGTACTTCAACCTTCTGGAAGATCAAAACTTTTGGCTCCTAAGAATTATATTGAAAGCTTTAGTTCCCCACTCCCACTCCCCATCCTCTTGCATTTGCCATGTGGAAGTGCAATCTACAATTTGTGGCTAATAGATGGGACAGACAGATTAAGTTTGGTGACAAATATGGGAGTGACTGTACTTACCAAAGTCAAAAGCTTAACCACGACTGGGAGAGTGATTTCAACAAAGCACCAGAGGATGTGAAGTAGCGATTTCTAGCTCCAGCCACAAAATTGCCTTCTCCTTAACCCAAATGCTGTTTTCCGTCTGAACAGATCATTTGACAGTAGAATCTTGAAGTGCAAAAAGTGTTAGGATCGGAGCACAAATCTTTATGCCCATAGTTCTATAATCATCGAGAGATGGCATCAAACTAAAGTTTGGGCTATAGCAAGAGGAAATGAATGAACAATCAATATGCACAATTTATATAATAAGCCATAACAGAATGACAGGCCTGTTGATGGTTTAGGGTTAGATTTTGTCTATCGAATTCCAATAGTTACACAGTCACAGACACACACACACCAGAATGGCATGCGGATTGATTAGGGTCAGATTTTGTGACTGTCAAAAGCCAATAAAAAAAATTTCAAGATCCTGCATGTGGCTAACTCCTAAGTAATGAACTGGTGAGCAAGCCAAAGAGTCTCCTCAATGGAATAGACTAAGTTTCATATCCCCTATTTCAGTAACATCAGATGCAAGTGCAACTTCGAATTATCAATTCATCGTTCCCTATGAGCTTATGACTCCTGGATACTACCTGCAATCAGCTTGGGACAGATTCCATAAGAAAACTAATGCTCACCCTAGACTGCACAATTAATTCAAGAGGAAACACGCTCGAATTACCTACACTGTAATAAGACCTAGTTTGGTTGTTGGGAGTAACATAAGAGGAACGGGAATTCAACCCTCATTCCAACGAGTAGGAATGCTGAGTGGGAATAGGACTCAAGAGCTATAACTACTGCTCAGGTTTCATTACTGAGGGAGGAATATGAATTCTAAATCATTTTTAGTATGATCGCTACAATTAAAGAGTGTCAAAAGTTAGTTTTCTCCACTTTCTTATTATCTGATTGATCTCCCATAAAAAACTTGGAACATGCCCATCACACTATCTTTCATGTGTTTTCACTTAAACATGCACCCTTTCGCATTTGAAAAGCACCCGTATCATTCCCTCCCAAAACAGCAGACCAATAATTACTCCCCCATCTTTGGCCATCACGAGTGTTGGGTAGGGTTTGGTTTGGGTAATTGCAGGTTTCACCAGTTTCCCCCATGGAATTAATAAGCCACCTCATTTTCATTCGTTATAATATCACTTCATACTACTTTTCATGCTTGTTGCATTTTTACAATACATTTGCTCAATGTCAATGAGACATATTTGATCGTAACAAGGGATCAAGAACTGATGTAAATAAATAGCTATCATGTCAAACTAACAAATTTCTGCTCTTACAGCAAGCCCCCGTAAGTACACCCCATGATCCTCAACCGCTAAACATTCTTTCCATTTGCTATAAGCCTAGATCCAGCAGCTGAATTTTCTACCGAAGTATCACCCAATTTTTGGTTTGAGCTGTAACTGCTAATAAAGGAAAAGAGTTAGAATATCACGGTGGTATCTTAGTATGAAAAGATGATCAGCTCAATGTGGACTGAATAGAATAAGCAAGATTTCCGTCGGCTAAGCAGTGATTCTGCTAGCACTATTGATGGAATTGCAAAGCAGATTATATCGATCCAATAAAGATCGTCACACATGTGCATTTGAAGCTCATCGTTGAACACGTATTTTCACAACAAAACATGAGAAAGTATAAATGCAGCTAACAAGCAAAAAAGAACAACATTTGATGGAAAGAACCCATCCGTAATCATTCTACCGGCAATGGAATACCGAAATGCAGCTCACATACCTTCCCCCCAGGCGCTAGACTATCCAAAATAGAATCTACCAAAGGCTTCTGCACAACCCTTCTCTTGTGATGCTTTTTCTTGACATGAGGATCTGGACACTGCATCAAAATATGGAACGAGAGCACTAAGTTCATTCCTCCAGCATGCAAACTAGTTAAAACAATTTGGGAGGTAAAGAGATGTGAGTTCCTAAGAAGTTTTAAAGACAAGACACTTACAAGGATCGAAACTAACATCAAAGGACCTGGGTAAGTGGACATTATATGTTTGAAAGAAACTGTGGCATTTGCAAACAGAAAATGTCTGCAATGAAGTCAAGAAAGCTATAAGAAAAACAATGATATGCAGATTGATCAATGGATGGTAAATTACAAAGCCTACATGTTCTTTAGAGCCAGATCCTTTACCCGGCATTCCGCACGCTTAGCAAGCTACAAATAGTACATTTCAAGAATACGAACTAAATCTCCACGCTCTTCCATCAAATGAGAATAAACCAAGATTGTAGTACACTGACGCATCAGAGTAATTGCTGAGTGTGCTAGAAGCAACCCAAGGTGTTCATGCCATACTTTCTACCGGATTTCCAGTCCCAGATAGTTTCCCGAGGGATTTGGTTTTGCGAGCCACGCAAGAAATCTGCCACTGCCTGGGAATTTCATGTACTCTCAGTTGAAGAAAGATGTCCCATGCAGGCAAGCAACAAGACGCCCGTTTACTGGAATGAGGTTGAAGCGATAATCACAATGACAGAGTCAGCAAGACAAATTAAACAAAATAAAGAAGCAGAAGAAGATTTTAGTAACTCAAATGTCACTTCCCAAACTCTACGGTCTGAAATTGTTATTCTGGCTCCAGGTAGTTTCACCTCAGTCACACCATATTAACCGGTCATCGAATCTCATCATTACCATAAACTTGGACAGACACACACAAAGGAATAAGATATACATCGTGCTCATCATCCAGTGAACATGGACAGCCGCATACAGGGGAATTAGATCTGAATTGCGCTTGTCATCTACCAATGAAAAGATAACAGGTGGTTGACACGTTCTAAAAGAAGAGAAGGGAAGATTTTGTAATGCCATGTCACTTCATGAGAGCCTAAATGACCCTGCAGTCTAAAACACAAACAAGCTAAATCGAGTACTTCCACAGCTTTACGGGCTCGTCCTAAACCAATTCATTTGAACTAAAGAAGGGAATTGATATATCGAGTCACTAGATTATTGATGGACCCTCAGATCAAGTACCTTTTGAACAATCGTACTCTATTCAAGTGTTCACCAATAACTTTTCAAAGTCATAGGAAGATTAGATCGAGAATCTGGAGAAGTCAAAATCCAAATACAGCAATCGATTCTTCTAACAATAGATAGGGGTTCCAAGTTTCTACAATTATGAACCAAGATTTTCTCCTTGCAAAGAAGTTACGCGGTCACGTGATAAAGAGGTATAAAAATCGGATCCTTAACAGCACGATCCAAGTAGAGCAACTCCATTAAGAGAAAGACAAAGGAAATTGAATTGAGTAGGCAGCACGCCACGAGCATGAAGGAGAGAAGATGACAAAGCACCGATGATTGTCCCGAAAGCTATGGCTTCTGAAATATAAGATCATTTCGAATAAAGGAAACTCAATTCCAAGTCTGCTAATCTGCAGATCCTTATATAACCGCGCTGGCTTCGCATATCAGTATGATATGAGGGCGGTTGATCGGACCACAATGCCAACGCAAAGTCAATCAGAGAAACTTAAGAGGCCTATGGTCTATCTGACCTTCTCTTTAACCGTTTTTATTTCTCTACAACTCTCTCCAATTACACGGCCTAGCCCTTCAGTTGCAGCGCCTTTGTTAATCCATGCAGGCACAACGGACCAACACGCACAGGAGAATGACCTCTTTATATTAATGACATTCATCTAATACAGCAAGCTCAGTCGAGCGAATTATCAAGACGTGCCGTGGGTGAGACCTCAAAGCAAAATGCTTCTACACATAACTCAGGCTTCTACCCTGACTGAAATTCACAAACGTTCGAGCGTGATGCAGCTGGGAATTCAGGAAAAGTTGATACTCAGGAAACGCAGAGAACTAACTATCCAACATATAATTGCAATGAATGCAAACAGAAGTTACAGACAGGATGGCAAAGACTTTTGAGAACAATACCAAGGTGGCCTCACCGCTCCCAATGTCCATCACCATCAAAGGCAAGGTCGGGTCCGCCAAAACCACGTCCCAGTTCGGCGCTTGGGCAGGCATCTACCATCATGGAACCAGAATCAGACAAAGCGCTAACCAAGGACTCGAATGAAAAAGGAAGAATTTTAACGCTGACATGACCCGATTCCTGCAAAAAAAAATGAGAAACCGACAAAACTCGCTTTCACCGGACTCTCGAATCGTCGGCAATCGACAACAACTTCTTCGTTCAACGTTGTTACCTCGGACTCTAAGGCGACGAGGTGAGGTCGGCGCTTCGTAGCTGATTCCGTGCTTCTTGTTGCCCTTGCCCTTGCTGCTGTTGCGGCTGGACTGCGGTGCCGCTGCTGCTGTAACACCGAAGACACGATGACTCGCAGGTTGATCCAGCGAGCTTGGCGATGCGGAGAAATGGAGGAGGTGTGAAGAAGCGAGAGGAGTGCGCAAGGAAGCAGAGAAGGGGACGATGATGATGATAGCCATCCATTGATGCCGACTCGAGCTTCGACTTCAGGCATTCATCATGGAAGCTCCTGCTTGAACTTTCCGTGCTTAAACTTTCCATGACCATGGCCATAGAAAGCCCCGTGTCCGAGATGATGAGCACCATGAGGCATTTGGTGTGCCCCGTAAGCAGCGGCTGCAACAGCGAGGCCCCCAGCTACCATTGCTCCCATACCAGGACCAGGACCATGCCCTATAAACACACAGGGAACCAGATCAGGAAACATAAATAGCTATCATACAAAACACTAGCAAGAAGTTCAGTGAGAAACAGGTCCTACCCGACGAAAACACCAAATAGAAAAAACTAGAAACCATCAGTACCTCAGTGAAATCCCTGTAAATTCGGAATTGAAAACCAAGTACAAGAGTAAATTCAGCTTTACACAGAGAAATACAGACAACAGTCACGATACACTTTTAAGTTCAGAAAATCAATGTCTCCTACTCCTAGAAAAGAAGCTACAAGTTACAGCTTACATCTTCATAATACAATCACTAGTCTGACAATCGCAGTTATGATCAATACCTGAATGATATGGAGCTGGAGGAGCTGAAGGACCCGGATAAGCAGCTGGTGGATATCCCCCAGGTGGTGGATAAGCTGGCGGATAACCTGCAGGCGGAGGAGGATAACCGGCAGGAGGATATCCACCTGGCGGAGGATACGCAGCTGGTGGATACCCCTGAGGAGGATACCCCTGAGGAGGATACCCCTGCGGAGGATATGACCCGTGGTGCATGTATTGCCCCGCAGCGTACCCAGCAAGGCCCGAGAAAAGCCCTTTGTCAGCAGGCTCGTTATTGCTCCCGTCTTTTCCATCCATGTTTAGTCAACAAAAAGTGATGCTGTAGGATGCCGAGAAAGTAACAAGTAGGCCAGCCCAACACAAGCGATATTGAGTCGAAAGCGACACCGCAGTCTGTCAAACAAGTTTTTAGGCATTAGACCCGTTTGCGTGACGAAGATCATCCAGTAACTTAGCAAAGGGTAGACCCCTTGATCCAACAGAAGAACTACAAACGAAAAAATTATTTCTTGGGCAACAAAAGGCAGAGACTGAACAGCCAACATCCAAGATATGCCCCAAAAAACGACAAAAGGATGCAATCTGCGGACTCGTTCCTGGTCAAAGATGCCGTGAGATGAATATTATGATAGACAAACGAACTAAGATTCCACAACATTCGAAGGAAAATGCCAAAAACTCTTATGGCAGGCAGGGCACCCCGTAACGTCAATCTCGCAAACGACTCGCATCATACCGATCGGTTGCCAATCGAGTTCTTGAGCGACAAACAATCCAGAACGTTGCAAGCGAAGGCGAAATCAACCGCCACCCCATTACTCCCCACCGTTTCACCGCCGCGAAAACGCAATACCCATTTGTCAGAAGCGACATTCAATGTCGAACCATTCGAACTCAGAACAAAAAAGAAGGAAAAAAACACGATAGAGGAAGACGCAAGTTACACAAATCAGAAGACTCGAACCATGTCGTTCTCCATTGCACAGAGAGAGAGAGAGAGAGAGAGAGAGAGAGACCATACGTAGTGGTCGGGGAGATGAGAATGGCGTCGCGCGTTGCTGCTCTGATCGGATGAACAGAGCGCGAGAGAGGAGGAGGAGAGAAGGAAAGGCAAGCCAAGGCAAAAAACTGAGCAAAAAACTGAAAAACTGAGACAACCAAAGTAAAATAATTGAAGGTACAATGCAATAGATGACTCGGACGTACTTACATGCGGCGAGCGTTACTTGGACGCGTCTTCTCCGCGTCACGTCCGAACGCACGTGTATTCAACTTTCCTCCTTTTCCTCGAATTTAAATATAGGATTAACATAATCCGAATATTTAGGAAACTTCCTTCCACATCTAGCCATGTTTTTCTATTGATAGGTGACAAGATACACGCGTCACTAATATATAAATGAGTTAATAACCGCGAAAAATTACAAATCGATACACTTATGATAAATTTGCCCTTTATTACTTTTCGTAAATATTACCGTCAAATTTCTGAGTTGGATGACATGTAACAGTTGACTAGTATACCAGGTTGGGGTTTTACCCTCCATTTGTCATCATCTGTATATCAGTTTGTAATTTTTCGTAGTATCAATCCAATTTAACGAGGGGTAAATTTATCACAAAAGTATCGGCTTGGGGTTTTTAATGGTTAAAAAATTATTTTTGGATAAATTTATCATAGGTGTACCGATTTAGAGGTTTTTCGTGGTAAAAAAATTAATTTTGGGTAAATTTATCACAGACGTACTAGTTTAGGATTTTTCATGATATTAACCCTATATAAATATGAAAACTTGATTCGATATATTTCAAATCATTCCATATTTATAACTCATTAATAAAAAAAATGATTGGAAAAAGGCACGGCCCTAAAATATATGTGTGCACTCGAAAATTGCGGCCCACGATATTTTATCGTGAGTGCTTAGTAAGGTATGAAAAGTTCATTTCAAAGCAATTTACAAAGTTTGAGGGCACGGGCGTGGCGCGAGATCCTTCCCTCTTTGCTTTTTAAAGATTCTTTAATACAACTCTTTGAGGAAATAGCTTCACACTGTTTCAAGGAGCCGCGACTTTAAAATAGTACGTTTGGTCTCGTTAACGAGCACCTAAATATGGGAAATATTCGATTTTAGTAGCATTGGTACATATCACGAGAGCAGTCAAGTATATTGAAAATTGCGGTACTTGCTTATTTAGATGCCTCATAAGTGTCCTCATGATATTTTCAAACAAAAATCCACCATATGTTATGAAATACGCAAGTTACCGCATTCTATAGCGCAATGCATCTACAATTCATCCGCGACAAGATGGTACTGGCTATCTTATCTCCATATCTATCATCTTTTTTGCTAGAAAAAAAATCAACATGATGCTAAAATCCCATTTTTTTGGGAAATGCTACGGCACATCTGTTATCTATTTTTATTATATTCCTTGAGTAGGGAGTTATTCTCGCTTTTAGGTCTCTTCCCATTTTATTCTTAGATAGAATTTCTCTCACTCATGAAATAAATGACAAAAAAGGTAAAATTTTACTTTCGTAAAACACTTTCTCCCTACCCATCCCACTTTATACATTTGGTAGTCAGGATAAAATTCCGGATAAGATAAAATTTATCTTGTCATGTGTTTGATTCCTATCTAAGACATGATAAAGTTAGATATAAAATAGATATAACTTAGATAAAATTATCCCATTAGAATATGAGATAAATGTGAATATGATTTTTAATATCGATAATATAAAAATTATTTTCTCAAATAACAAGCTTTTTAAATTAATAATATTGAAAGTGCGTGATTATCCAAATCTGGGTGATTGCACAAGGAGATAGTGCCATCACCATCACGCAAAGCAAGCACAGATTGAGATTGTCAGTCGAATGTCGGCATGCATGTTTGTCAGTAGGACAAGTGGACATAGCTCAGGGATACAAATGAAGACAATTAAGTGGACATTATTTCACTTTATTCCTGAAATTAGCCAAAGTATCTTAAAAAAAACCAACTCAAGGTTTAGCCATGCATCGACATATGCATGTCTTCTTTGTTAATTGGAAGATTTTCTCCAAAAACTTCATCCCTTTCTATGAATACACGTATAGAATTGCCATATAATTCATGAAATTACAATTAAGTCCACATCCCTACAAATACACTGTAGTTTTCAAAATTAAAATGTTCCTTGTAAAATTTTACTGCATAACATTGTATACGGCGAGTTTAAATAAAAGGGTTAATACCACGAAAAACCCAAAACTAGTATACTTGTGATAAATTTATCACAAACTAATTTTTTGACCACCAAAAAGCCCAAACTGGTATACTTATGACAGTTTTACCCTTGTTAGTTTAAGATGTGACAATTGATGGGTGTACCAGTTTGGGGTTTTACTTTTTGTTTGTCATATATGTACCGGTTTGTGATTTTTCGAGATATTAATCCAATTTAACATAATGTAAATTTATCACAAATGTACCAGTTCAAAAGGTTTTTTATGGTCAAAAAATTAGTTTATGAGTAAATTTGAGGTGTATTGATTTAGGATTTCTGGTGGTAAAAAAATAAGTTTGAGTTAAATTTATTATAAATATATCAGTTTGAGATTTTTCGTGGTATTAACCTTAAATAAAAAAGAATAAGAGAGCAAAAAATCCAACTCCACGTCCAAACTTTGAAAAATCTTACCTTTGATTTTCCATCGCCAAATCTAGGGGTGAGCATGATGGACCGCCCGAATCGGGACCGGACCGGATTGGCTGGTTTGGTCCGGTTCTTGAGAGTATCGGTCCGGTTCCCGGTTCGTAAAAATGGAACCGGTTTCCGGGCGGTCCGGTTCCCGGTTCTAGGGTGGGAACGGGACCGGACCGGACCGATAAATATATTTATTTATTTATTTTGCTCAAAAAATATATATTTATTTACTTTTTAAAATTTATGAAAAAAAAGAAAGCATTTTACCAATTTTCCTCTGCGACAAATGTCCCTATTGTTTCTCATAAAGAAAAGACAGTCCAATGCTCTGAGTTTAAAAAATAGAAACCCTAATCACTGAGGCTCTCCCCGATTCGCTCTCGCCCTCACCTTTGAGGCTCTGCCTAAGACATTTTATTAAGAAACAAGCTTGGATTTTTCTGCTTAATGCTTTTGTCATATTGCAGAAGGTTATTATTTCATATCCTAGGTTAATAAATGAATAAGCGATTGGTTCCATTGGAACCGGACCGGACCATCGGTCCGGTCCGGTCCACGGTCCTAGGACTAGCCGGTCCGGTCCTCGGTCCTAGAAACTAGGAACCGATCCTCCCGGTCCGGTTCCTGGTTCTTGGGTGGGACCGAACTGGATCAAGAACCGCTCACCCCTAGCCAAATCTTATTTTCACTAGAAAATTCTTCCGCACTCGTTTGCTTCTTGCCAAGATATGACTCACGAACGACAGGTGATAATCCCCACGAAAGACAAAGTCACACGAAATCTTGTACACAGAGAGAACCAATCAATGAATTGCCTGACAAAACCCTAAACCAAGAAAAGCTCAAGAAAAATTATAATCCTCATGCCTTGCGAGATGGATTCCATGAAAATACTGCACCCATTGCTAAGAAGTTTATTAGTTTTTCTCTTACTCTGGCCACCGTGATGACCTCCTCCTTTCATATTTCGTTCCACGATTAGGCCCCGGTAAGTAAGTAATGGCCATCCCCTTTAAACTTATGGCAAAGTTATCTAAGTGTGAAAATGTCACTGTCTATTCTCTGTCCAAGAAAGTCACGCGAAAGTCACATCTAATTTTCTCTCTTTTCACCTAGTTGTGTCAAATTGACTAAGAAATTCTCTTGAAATCTTTTTTAAGATTTGACTAGTATCTTCTTGACACGTAACAATTCATGACTGTTTCGTACGGTTGTCACATTCTTGAATTCGGCTCGTTCCATTAGATCAGAGAGAGTGAGAGAATTTTCCAACTCTCTCTCATCTGAAGGAACGAGACACAAGTTCACAAAGCCTTCTCGATTTCTCCCTAAGACACTTGGCATTAAGATTTAGCTGGTTTGTTGAGGTTTATCTTGTAAGCGCCCTATCTCTTTTATGAAGAGTCAATATTTGAGGGGCAAGTTTTTTTATGAAAAGCAGTTACTAATTCGTTTCTTTTTAAAAACAAAATTGGAAAAAAAATCAATATTCTCCATTTAGTAAAAGAGCAGTTCTTTACTTATTTCCTTCGTATCAAGAAAACCAAAAGCATATCACTTTAGTACATAAACGAACGTTTTCTTTGCATCAATGGAAAAGAAAAACGAGTATCCGTTGAAAAACAGAAAGTGTATAAGTTACATCGAATGTTCTCTTCTTCCGTTAAATTATGTCTAGAGTTTTAGCCCGTGTTTGAAATCCGAACCGTTTGGAGGATTTTGATTTGTTCAAATTCGGTGCGCCCATTAATCCCGATTCAAGTTTGGATTTTGTTGGGTGGTTTTGTTGGAGCATCAACATAGTATATTTCCTTTGACGGCAAGTTTGTTGTTCTTGTTGATTAGCTCTATTTAATATCTTTAAGAAAGCGTACAGTGAACGTCTAAAAATCACACGAGAAAAGGAACTTGAATAATCGGTGAGCAAACCTCCAAAAACAAAACAATTAATGGGTGTGTTCATTTGGCGGAAAACGAGTAATTTGGAAAATATTTTCCGAAAAATAATCGCTTATATCATTTAGCAAAATAAATAAATAGAAAATTTTTTCATCGCCCGCGAAAATAATTAGGCATAAATTGTTATCGATGATGAAATATTTTCCGTCGAAAATAAGCAATTATTTTTCGAAAAATATTTTCTAAATCACTCATTTTTCACGAACGCATCCTTGTACCTTTCTTGGTTGCATAGAAGAATTCCTTCAAGCCGTATCGAGAACTCCAAAAAGACGAACGGCGAAGAAACAAAGGGGTCGTACAGTGACACTCTCTTTGATCGCATGGAAGAGTCTTGAACACAGTGAATTTTGTGCTGTGAATTTAGATCCAATTGAGTTTGTTGTTGATTCTCCCGTAGAGTAGGTATTGACATTCAAACCAACCACGTAAATCTCTGGTATCCTTTATTATTCTTCGCTTATTTCTCTTATGATTTGTGATTTCGCGTTGATTTAATTTGCAAGATCCAGTATTATATTACGACATCTTTATTTCTTCACCCAATTATGTTGAACTCGAATGTCGATGACAACCTCGATGTCCATAAGAGATTGCTCAATGGCCGAGTTGATAATTTTGAACGGGTGGAGAAAGATTCTTAATTAAAAGAAGAGTTGCAAGAATCATAAGGAGGTACCAAAATAAAGAAATGTATAACATATAATTGCTTGAGCCTCATAGTTCTCCTTATCGATTATGCCTATTCATAAATTGGAGCACGAGATGTAGGAGTGGATTGCGCGTAGGACAAAGTCAAGTCAAAAGTAAAAAAACAAGGTATGTTCATTAGAAATTTTGAAAACTTATTACAAAAGTACAATCAAGTTCTAAAATTTATCAAATTAGTTAAATCGAGTCCTAAAGTTAATACCGCTTTATTTGGCTAACGAAAAATATTGATGTAGCTTTTTATTTTTATTTTTCTATCCAATGTGACGATGACGTGGCCTTTTTCATTTTAACACTAATTTTATTCAAATTAAATTTAAAAAAAAATAAAAAAGAAGAGGAGAAGGAGGAGGATAGGTAGGGAGGGTTGCAAGCCCTCGCCGTTGCCGCCGCCGCCCCCGTCCCACCATCGCTAGGAGGGGCCTGTGAGGGTGGGGGACGACTGGGGCCTAGCGACCCCCACCGCCTATCCTCCTTCTCTTTTTTTTTATTTTTTAAAAATATTTAGATTATTTTTAAATTTTTTTTAAATAAACTTAGTATTAAAAATCAAATTTGAGTCAAAATGGCGTCGTTTTAGTTTTATGTTTCATAATTTAGCCAGGAGAGAGAAAATATTGAAATAAGCTACGTCAGCATTTTCCGTTAGTAAATTAAATGGTGGTAACTGTAGGATTCGATTAAATCAATTTGATAAATTTTAAGATTTGCTTGTACTTTTTTTGCAAATTTTAAGATTCAAATGTACTTTCGTGATAAGTTTTAAGGTTTCTAGTGAACATATCCGTAAAAATACCCTCAAATCTTAGAGCATTTGCAGTGGAGTTGTTGCAAAGATGCAACATGCGTCGTATTTATATTAGGTTTGTTAAGAATGGAAAAGATTATGGATTAATATCATGAAAAACCCAAAATCGGTACACCTGTGATAAATTTATCCCAAATTATTTTTTTTACCACAAAAAGTCTCAAATTAGTACATTTGTGAAAAATTTATCCTATGTTAAATTGGATTAATACCTCAAAAAATCATAAATGGGTACACTTATATTAAACGGATGGTAAAACCCCATACTAGTATACCCGTTAACCGTGACTTGTCATCCAACTCCGAAATTTGACGATAAAATTTAACGAAAACTAACGGAGGGTAAAATTATAATAAATGTATTAGTTTAGAGTTAATTTGGGGTAAATTTATTATGGACGTATCAATTTAGATTTTTGGTGGTATTAACCTAAAGTTTTATATCGAACTGCAAATTACGCTACCGATATCCTATCCAAAAAAAAAAAAAAAACCTAAAGTTTTATTGGTCGCACACTAATGTAAAATTTCAAAGAACTATAAAACCCCACTCCCAAATGGGTTCCGCTTTTCTTCTGATGCAGGAGCTTCCATGAATGCCTGAAAGTCGAAGCTCGAGCCGGCATCAATGGCTATCGTCACCACCCCGTTCTCCGCTTCCTTGCGCGCTCCTCTCGCTTCTTCACCTCCATTCCTCCGCATCGCCAAGCTCGCCGCGGCGACCTGCGCTCATCGTCTCCGGTGTTACGGCGGTAGCAGCAGCAGCAGCAGCACCGCCGCAGTCCAGCCGCAACCGCAGCAACGGCAGCAAGAAGGGAGGAATCAGCTGCGGAGCCCCGACCTCGTGGCCTTAGAGTACGCGGACCTCAACCTCCCCCACAAGCTCTCCGAGGTAACAACGTCGGACGGAGAAGTGGGTTGTCGATTGCCGATGATTCGAGTGTCGCGTGACAAGCGAGTTCTGTCGGTTTCTCATTTTTGCAGGAATTGGGTCATGTCAGGATCAGGCAACATGTCAATCCCCTCAGTTCTTCCTTCTCGGTAAGCGTTAAAATTCTTTCCTCTTTCCATTCGGGTCCTGCGTTTAGCGCTTTGTCTGATGATTCTTGGTTCGGTGATGACAGATGCCTGCCCAAGCGCCGAACTGGGACGAGGTTTTGGAGGACCCGACCTTGCCTTTGATGGTGGACATTGGGTGCGGTGAGGCCACCTTGGTATTCGAAAGTCTTCGCCATCCTGTAACTTGTATTTGCATTCATTGTGATTGTTGGTTGGATAGTCCTCTGTGTTTCTGGATATCGACTGTTTCTGAATTCTCAGCTGAATGACCCTCCGGACATTTGTGAATTTCTGTCGTGGTAGGAACCCGAGGTATGCGCTTCTGTTGTCGCGGCTCGTAGAAGCATTTTACTTTGAGGTCACACACCACACGTCTTGATAATTCGCTCGACTGAGGTCATTGTATTAGATGAATCTAATTAACAAAGAAGTCATTCTCTTGCGCGTGTTCGTCCGTTGTGTCTGCGTGAATTAACAAAGAGGCTGCAATTAAAGGGGCTTGGCCGTGTAATAGGAGAGAGTTGTAGATAATAAAAACGGTTATAGAAAAAGGCAAATAGACCATAGGCCTTCAAGTTTTTCTGATTGACTTTGCATTGGCATTGTGGTCCAATCAACCACCATCATATCACACTGATGTGCGAAGCCAGCACAGTTATAGGGATCTGAAGATTAGCAGACTTGGAATTGAGTTTCCTTTCTTTGAAATGATCTTATATCATATAAGCCATAGCTTTCAGGACAATTATTGGTGCTTTGTCATCTTCTCTCCTTTATGCTCGTGGTGTGCTGCCTACTCAATTCAATTTCCTTTCTCTTTCTCTTAATGGAGTTGCTCTACTTGGATCATGCTGTTAAGGATCCAATTTTTATATCTATTTCTCATGTGACTGCGTAACTTCTTTGCAAGGAGAAAATCTTGGTTCCTAATTGTAGAAACTTGGAACCTATATCTATTGTTAGAAGAATCAATTGCTGTATTTGGATTTTGACTTCTCCAGATTCTCGATGTAATCATTCTATGACTTTGAAAAGTTCTTGGTGAACACTTGATAGAGTACGTATGAGTGAGATTTTGTACCCATAATGCTGTGGAAGTACTAAATTTAACTTGTTTGTGTTATAGACTACTGTGTCATTTAGGTTCTCATGAAGTCACATGGCGTTACAAAATCTTCCCTTCTCTTCTTTTAGAGCATGTTAACCACTTGTTATCTTTTCATTGGCAGATGACAAGCGCAATTCATATCTAATTCCTTTGTACGTGTCTCTCCATATTCACTGGATGATGAGCATGATGTGTATCTTATTCCTTTGTGTGTGTCTGTCCAAGTTTATTGGAATAATGAGATTTGATAACTGGTTTGTACGGTGTGACTGAGGTGAAACTACCTGGAGCCAGAATTAAAAATTTCAGACCTTAGAGTTTGGGAAGTGACATTTGACTTACTCAAATCTTCTTCCGCTTCTTTATTTTGTTTAATTTGTCTTGCTGAATTAGTCATTATGATTATCACTTCAACCTCATTTCAGTAAACGGGCGTCTTGTTGCTTGCATGCATGGGACATCTTTCTTCAACTGATGGTACGTGAAATTCCCAGGCAGTGGCAGACTTCTCATGTGGCTCGCAAAAGCAAATCCCTCGGGAAACTATCTGGGACTGGAAATCCGGCAGAAAGTATGGCATGAACACCTTGGGTTACTTCTAGCACACTCAGCAATGACTCTGATTGTGTTAGTGTACTACAATCTTGGTTTATTCTCATTTGATGGAAGAGCATGGAGATTTAGTTCATATTCTTGAAATGTACTATTTGCAGCTTGCTAAGCGTGCAGAATGCTGGGTAAAGGAGCTGGCTCTAAAGAACATGTAGGCTTTGCAATTTACCATCTATTGATAAATCTGCATATCATTGTTTTTCTTATAGCTTTCTTGACTACATTGCAGACATTTTCTGTTTGCAAATGCCACAGTTTCTTTCAAAAATATAATGTCCACTTACCCAGGTCCTTTGATGTTAGTTTCAATCCTTGTAAGTGTCTCGTCTTTAAAACTTCTTGGGAACTCATATCTCTTTACCTCCCAAATTGTTTTAACTAATTTGTATGCTGGAGGAATGAACTTAGTGCTCTTGTTCCATATTTTGATGCAGTGTCCAGATCCTCATTTCAAGAAAAAGTATCACAAGAGAAGGGTTGTGCAGAAGCCTTTGGTAGATTCTATTTTGGATAGTCTAGCGCCTGGGGGAAAGGTATGTGTGCTGCATTTCAGTATTCCATTGTCGGTAGAATGATTACTGGTGGGTTCTTTCCAACAAGTGTTGTTCTTTTGTGCTTGTTAGCTACATTTATACTTTCTCATGTTCTGTTGTGATAATACGAGTTCAACGATGAGCTTCAAATGCACACGTGTGAGGACCTGTATTGGATTGATTTAATCCACTTTGCAATTCCATCAATAGTGCTAGCAGCATGACTGCTTAGCCTACAGAAATCTTGCTTATTCTATTCAGTCCACATTGAGCTGATCATCCTTTCACGCTAAGATACCACCATGATATTCTAACTCTTTTCCTTTATTAGCAGTTACAGCTCAAACAAAAAAATGGGTGATACTTCAGTAGAAAATTCTGCTGCTGGTTATAGCAGATGGAAAGAATGTTTAATGCTTGAGGATCGTGGGGTTTACTTACGGGGGCTTGCTGTAAGAGCAAAAATTTGTTAGTTCGACATGATAGCTGTTTGTGTACATTGGTTCTTAATCCCTTGTTACGATCAAATATATCTCATTGACATTAAGCAAATGTATTGTAAAAAGGCAACAAGCATGAAAAATAGTATGAAGTGATATTATAACGAATTAAAATGACAGGGCTTATTAATGCCACTGGGGAAACTGGTGAAACCTGCAATTACCCAAACCAAACCCCAACCAACACTCGTGATGGCCAAAGATGGGGGAGTAACTATTGGTCCTGCTGTTTTGGGAGGGAATAATACAGGCACTTTTGAAATGTGAAGGGTGAATCTTTAAGTAAAAACACATGAAAGATAATGTGATGGGCATCTTCCAAGTCTCTTTGGGAGATCAGCCAGATGATAAAAATATGGAGAAAACTAACTTTTGACACTCTTTAATTGTAGTAATCATAATGATAATGATTCATAATTCATATTCCTCCCTCTGTAATGAAACCTGAGTAGTAGTTATAGCTCCCGAGTTTTATTCCCTCTCAGCATTCCTACGCATAGGAATGAGGGATGAATTCCCATTCCTCTTTTGTTACTCCCAACAACCTAAATAGGCCTTATTACAGTGTAGGTAATTCAAGCATGTTTCCTCTTGAATTAATTGTGCAGTCTAGGATAAGCATTAGTTTTCTTATGAGATCTGTCCCAAGCTGATTGCTGGTAGTATCCAGGAAGTATAAGCTCATATGGAAAGATGAATGGATAATTTAAAGTTGCACTTGCATCTGATGTTACTGAAGTGGGGGATAAGAAACTCAGTCTATTCCATTGAGTAGACTCTTTGGCCTGCTCGCCAGTTCATTACTTTGGAGTTGGCAACATCTAGTATCTTGAAATTTTTTTATTGGCATTCAACAGTCAAAATCTGACCCTAATCAATCTGCATGCCATTCCGGTGTGTGTGTGTGTGTGTGTGTGAGAGAGAGAGAGAGAGAGAGAGAGAGAGAGAGAGAGAGAGAGAGAGAGACTATTAAAATTTGACAGACAAAATCTAACCCTAAACTATCAACAGGCATGTCATTCTGTTATGGCTTATTATATAAATTGTGCATATTGTTTGTTCATTTTTTTTCCTCTTTTTATAGCCCAAACTTTAGTTTGATGCCATCTCTTAATGATTATAGAATTATGGGCATAAAGATTTGTGCTCAAACGGAAAACAGCATTTGGGTTAAGGAGAAGGCAATTTTGTGACCAGAGCTAGAAATCACTACTTCACATCCTCTGGTGCTTTGTTGAAATCACTCTCCCAGTCGTGGTTAAGCTTTTGACTTTGGAAAGTATAGTCACTCCCATCTATTGCACCAAACTTAATCTGCTTAAAGTACAGTCACTCCCATCCATTAGGGAGGGAGGGAGGGAGGGAGGGAGGGAGGGAGGGAGATGATCTGCTGCATGACCGATTTCGGGAAATCATACTCAGGTGTCCTGGGCTTTGGGATCCACAATTTATTCAGAATATAGATCATATATCTATCAAATTTGGTCTGGAGGTTACATATCCAAACCTCGTTCTCATGGCTAAAGAATTGAATAAGCTTGCAATCTTGGTATTACTAAAATAGCTGACCACTCTGTTATCCACCATGCCCAGATGTGGAGTCTTCTTTAATCAATTTGTCCATTCTTAGTGCGGCCTCTGACATTTCTGCCAAAACTGCTTCTATCTTGATACCACAGTGATTGGTTTTGCAACCAATAGCAGTATTTCTGGGAGGGAGATGATCTGCTGCATGACAGATTTCGGGAAATCATACTCAGGTGTCCTGGGCTTTGGGATCCACAATTTATTCAGAATATAGATCATATATCTATCAAATTTGGTCTGGAGGTTACATAGCCAAACCTCGTTCTCATGGCTAAAGAATTGAATAAGCTTGCAATCTTGGTATTACTAAAATAGCTGACCACTCTGTTATCCACCATGCCCAGATGTGGAGTCTTCTTTAATCAATTTGTCCATTCTTAGTGCGGCCTCTGACATTTCTGCCAAAACTGCTTCTATCTTGATACCACAGTGATTGGTTTTGCAACCAATAGCAGTATTTCTGTGTATCTTTATCTTTAGCTTATGTTATTGGTAGCAATCTCATGGTTAAAGCATGTGGTGTGGTCTTAGCATTTGGTACGATACACATCTTTCCATTGATACCTGGACAGCAATTATGTGAACTTCACTCTTTTCTTGACCCTTCATTCTAGGATCTTGACAAAGTCAGGATGATTCTCAGAGGTCAATTTCACCGAGTTAATCTACACGTTCTTTTTTGGATTTGTTATTTGATTTTGTTGTGCTCCAGTTTCATAATCATCATTTTATTTTGTTCTATCTAATGTTTGACGCCTCATGTTGTTAACAGTAGCAGTGGTCATTGCAGGTATTTATACAGTCTGATGTGCTCGAAGTGGCCATGGACATGAGAAATCTATTCGACGAGAGGTGCGATTTGCTTCAACACGTCGATTCGATCGATACGACAATTTTGTGCGATGTGGATGGATGGTTACTGAAAAACCCAATGGGGATACGAACAGAGAGAGAAATCCATGCAGAATTCGAAGGCGCGAAGATGTACAGAAGATTGTACCAGAAGAAGCTGGTGTAATTTCAGGGTGGCGTTGCCCAAGGATAGGTTGCGTTGAGGAGGAAAGGTCATAGGTTGTTTTGTATTTGCTTATGCTGGAAAGATTCTTGTTCTTTCTATTTCTTTACCCTCTAGGTTAGGATAAGAGCCATATTGCCACCTACTCTTGAACAACTCCACTACCTCTCTCCTTCCTACCAACTTCTCCATCATCCTCTGCTCAGCAATTTACAGCCACAGGTCATGCATGTTGCTTTCACCGAAAATCATGGCTTTTTTTCATTAGTTTCTTTTGTTTTTATCTTGAATTAAGAAAAGTCTCAATGTTTACCCACTTCTCAGATTTTTCCATGACATTTTGTCTATCACAACTCATGTAAGCCTCTAGGAAAAATTCCAAAAGTCCCTTGCATTTTTCCCGATTATCACTTAATGTCCCGGGGAAATTGCTAAAGAATTATAAACTTGTTGCACTTGTGGCAATTGTCCTAAATATTTTAATTTGACCAATTTAATCCAGCATCTTTTGATAATTTGCCAATTGAGTACTTTTGTCCAATTTTGGCCTCATTGACATGGATGCCGGCCATCTTACGTGGCATGACAGCGGACAATTGGTGCTGGCGTAGATAATTTTTGTAATTTTTAAAAGAAAATCTGAATTTTTCTTTTCTTTTTTTTTTCTTTGTTTTGGTTCTCATATTGGCTTGCGAGGAACACTAGCGACCCCTATCGGCCGTGAAGGCCTTGCCCATACTTGGGAGGGAAACCCCATGGCCATTGCGACCTGGCTGGCTGTGGGTGAGGGTGCAAAGTCCCTCGCCAAATTTGAGCGAGGGCCGTGATGGCCTTGTCCAGTCATGGGGGAGGCCTTCATAGCCTCACTAGTTGCCTAGTCGGTAACCCTCATCGGCCACAATGAAAAAAAGAAGCAAAGAGACAGAAAGGAAAGAAAAATCAATAATAAATAATAAATGGCAAAAATTGTCCCATGTCAATGTTGATCGTGCTACATAGGATAGTCGGCGTTAAACGTCAGCAATTTTTTTGCCAAAGTTGGCCAGAATGACTCAATTGACAAATTGTCAAAATGTTTGGAATTAAATTGGTCAAATTAAAAAATTTAAGAATAAATTGGCACAAACACGGTAAAGAAATTTTTGGTAATTTTTTCTAATATCCCTTTTAAATTTTCTAATTTGCGTCTTTAGACTGTGTCGCGTAGTCAGTGTGGCCAAGTCATTGTTCCTTTGTACGAAGATCCTTTGTAATTCGAAACCTGTTGACCATTGCCACCATCGAACCCTGTGGTTGACTCACACACAAACTCTCTCTATAGCCCCGTAAGCGCCACGTTGTTGCTACGTAAGTGCCAGCGTGGCATTCAACAGCCATTTCACATCTCAATTCTATTAGGAATTTTTAATCAAAGGATCACATTGAACAAACAAACATATAGCTTAAGGATTTGAATGCACAAAAAAAAAAAAATGGTCCAAGGACCACATTTTAGAAATGAAAAAAGGTTCATGTTCATCCTATGACATTATCCCATTGCATAATATATGTATGATCTAAGACTCCATTAGTTTTGCGAAAAACGAAGATTTAAAAAACGTTTTCTTAAAAATAATAGCTTGTATCGCTTAAAATAAGTATTTAATAAAAAAAAGTTTTCATTATCGACAATAATTTAGAAAGTGCAATTTTACTTTTTTGTCATTTATTCCATGGGTAAGGAAAATTCTATCTAAGAATAAATTGGGAAGCAGCTAACACTGAGAATAACTCACTATTCAAGGTATATAATTGAAATGGATAACAGATGTACCCTAGCATTTCCCAAAAAAAAATGGGATCTTTGTAGCATCATGTCGATATATTTCTAGAAAATCATGGGAGATGATAGATATAGAGATAAGATAGCTTGTTTCATCTAGTCGTGGCTGAATTGTAGATGTGTTGTGATGCAAAATGCGATAACTTCGTAACATAGGTGGGTTTTGTTAAAATTTCTTGAGGAACTAAATAAGCAAGTATTGCAATTTTCAATACACCGACTGTTCTCGTAATACGTACCAATGCTACCAAAATCAAGTATGCTTATCGACAAGAGACCCACGTATAATTTTAAAATTGCGGCTCCTTGAATCTGTGTGGAGCGGTTTCCTGAAAGCCATCGTAGTTGTAGAGGTACTGCAACCCTAGGGGGTATTTGTTAAATATTTTATAAAAGCCATAGCACCCCTTTGCATGATTGAAGTTGCTGCGAAACTGCTGTATCGAAGAATCTCAGAAAAGCAAAGAGAGAGCTCATGCCACACCCATGCCCTTCGAATTTCATAAATTGCTTTGAAAGAACCCTTTCCATACCTTATTCAATCCTCACGATGGATATCGGGGGCAGCAATTTTCGGGTGCACACACACATATATATATTTTAGGGCCGTTCCCTTAATCTGATCATTTTTCTGATTAATGAGTTAAAAAAATATGGGATGATTTGAAATCTATCGAATCAAGTTTTCATATTAATGTACTAGTGGCGTTTATATCTTGTCACCTATCAATAGAAAAAGATAGTTAGATATAAAGTTTCCTATAATCTACGGAATTATGTTAAATCCTATATTTAAATCCGAGGAGAGGAGGAAAGGCGGACGCACGTGCGCTCGCACGTGACGCGGAGAGAGAGAGAGAGAGAGAGAGAGAGAGACGCGCCCAAGTAACGCGTGCCGCGGATATGTACGTCCCAGTCATCGTCCGTCGCATCGAGTCCTCAATTTATTTTATTATTTATTTTATATTTGGTTATCTTTTCTTGGCCTTGGCTTGCGCTTCCTTCTCTCCTCCTCCTCCTCCTCTGGCGCTCTCGTTCGTCCGATCGGAGCAGCAACGCGCGACGCCACTCATCTCCCCGACCACTACGTACGATCTCCCTCCCTCTCTCTCTTTCTCTCTCTCTCGGTCTCTCTGTGTGTGCGCAATTGAGACCGACATGGTTCGTGTCTTCTGATTTTGTACTCGCGTCTTCCCCTTGTCGTGTTTTGTCTGTTTTTTCTTTTGTTGTCCCGAGTTTTGAATGGTACGACCATTGAATGTCGCTTCTGACAAATGGGTATTGCGTTTTCGCGGCGGCGAAACGGTGGGGAGTAACGGGGTGGCGGTTGGTCTCGCCTTTCGCTCGCGACGTTCTGGATTCGTTTTGTCGCTCAAGAGCTCGATTGGCAACCTATCGGTATGATGCGGGTCGTTTGCGAGATGGCCGTTTCGGAGTACCTTGCCTGCCATGAGGAGTTTTGGACATTTTCCTTCGAAAGTTGTGGAATCTTTGTTCGCTTGTCTGTCGTATTCATGTCATGGAATCTTGGACCAGGAACGAGTCCCCCTGTTCAGACTCTGCTTTCTGTTGCCCCAAGAAATAATTTTCTGTCTGTAGTCCTTCTGTTGAATTAAGGGGTCTGGCCTTTGCTAAGTTACTAGATGATATTTGTCAAGCAAACGGGTCTAATGCCTCAAACTTATTTGACAGACTGCGGTGTGGTGGCTCTTGACTCGATATTGCTTGTGTTGGGCCGGCCTACTCGTTACTTTCTCGGCATCCTACAGCATTATTTATCGTTGAGTAAACATGGATGGAAAAGACGGGCGCGGTAACGAGTCCGCTGACAAAGGTCTTTTCTCGGGCCTTGCTGGGTACGCCGCGGGGCAATACATGCACCACGGGTCATATCCTCAGCATGGATATCCTCCTCAGGGATATCCTCCGCAGGGGTATCCTCCGCAGGGGTATCCTCCGCAGGGGTATCCCCTTCAGGGGTATCCACCAGCTGGGTATCCTCCACCGGGTGGATATCCGCCCGCCGGTTATCCTCCTCCGCCTGCCGGTTATCCTCCTCCGCCTGCAGGTTATCCACCAGCTTATCCACCACCTGGGGGATATCCACCAGCTGCTTATCCCGGTCCTTCAGCTCCTCCAGTTCCATATCATTCAGGTATTGATCATAACTGCGATTATCAGACTAGTCATTGTATTAGGAACATGTAAGCTGTTACTTGTAGCTGGTCTTTCATTTTTGTGCGCTTTTTTCTAGGACTTAGGAGACATTGATTTTCTGAACTTAAAAGTGTATCGTGACTGTTGTCTGTATTTCTCTGTGTAAAGCTGAATTTACTCTCGTAGATGGTTTTTAATTCCAAAGTTGAACGGTTTTGACTAAGGCACTGATGGTTTCTGGTTTTTTCTATTTGGTGTTTTTGTTGGGTGGGACCTGTTCTCAGTGAACTTCTTGCTAGTGTTTTGTATGTTGGCTATTTATGTTTCCTGATCCAGTTCCCTGTATGTTTATAGGGCATGGTCCTGGTCCTGGTATGGGAGCAATGGTAGCTGGGGGCCTTGCTGCTGCGGCCGCTGGTTACGGGGCACACCACATGGTTCATGGTTCTCATCATCTCGGACATGGGGCTTTCTACGGCCATGGTCATGGAAAGTTTAAGCATGGAAAGTTCAAGCACGGGAAGTTTGGAAAGCGCTGGAAACATGGCATGTTTGGAAAGCACAAGGGCAAGTTTTTCAAAAGATGGAAGTGAATCATCACATCTGTCCTGCTGGGGGACTGTTGTTGGCTTTCGACTGTTCCTTGTATGACCGAGTGGTACTACTAAGATTGATTGTGTTAATAGGTGGACCTACGTTTAAGTACTGAAAATGCTTCCTGTGCTATGTATCTATGATTGGTTGCTCTCTTTAAGAAATTGGGTCGAGTCTTCTAACAATGTCAATTTGCTTACTGATTTAAGATTCTTTTGAATCACTGTTTGCTCAGCTCTTTGTATGATGAAGTTCAAGAGCTTTGCTCTGCATATTGAAAACAATGGAAGATGCTTTGGCTGACTTGGATTAGGAATTTCTGGGTTAGATCAACTGAGTTCTGGTTGAATGTGGCTGGCATTTGGTTTGTTCAAAAAGCCAAGGAATTTGGCAGTCTTGAGAGGAGGATGAAGGGTCAACAGGTCTGATGGAGGCTAGAAATTGCTCATGGTGATTAACTGTAATATCGTGATTTCATTGATCAAAATGAAAAGATAGCAAACACATGATTAGGACAATGTTGTCGTTCTTTTCAATTGCTTGAATTGTCTAGTATGCTTAAGACCTAGCGTTGGATGAACTTTTCTAGTTCCCCTTTTCTTTCTTTGTACTATTTGACTTTTCCCAGGTCTTGGGAAGTCCATATATGTCTGTTGATGAGGAATATAATTCTGGCAGAAACTCTTTGGGGGTGAATGCTCACGAGTACGAGGATCCGTTTGTTTTGCAAAAAATAAATGATCTGGGAAATATTTTCTTAAAAAATAATTGTTTGTATCCCTTAAAATGAATAGTCAATAAAAATTATTTTTATTATCGATAATAATTTATATGTAATCATTTAGTAAATTCGTTTGGTAACGTAATTTCATTTTTTATTTTTGAAATAATTTTTTAGTTTAGAAATATGTTTAGAACAAAAATGAGAAGTAAAAATTTTATACTTTCCTATTTCTGGGACAAAAAGAGAAATAAAAACTTTTATCATTGTTCGCCCGCCTCCTCCCGTTGCTGCCCCCCACCGGCCGCTACCTCCTGTCGCCGCTCGATGAATGGAAAAGAGCAAAAGAGGGAGATATTTAAGACGGTCTATCAAACGAATTTTTATTTTGGGAAGAGAAATTTTGTGTCATTATTAAATACGTATCTCTATTCAGTAACTCGACAAGGAAACATAAATAAAAAAAATCTATTTCTGGTCAAAAATCTATTTCAGAAATAGAATAGTTATCATTCATAATCTTATTAATTCTCGTAGCTTGATAAAGTTATTCAAGCCGGAAAAGAAGAAGAAGGACATCATGGCTATGTACTCTTAGACTCGTACAACTGAGTTAAAAAGCAGACTCGTTCGACAATTAGTATAACCTAGTGGGCGGTGCCAGGACCCTACTTAATAGAGAGTGGTTGTCATTTTCAATACACTGGTTATACATAACATAAAGAGACATCATCGTATTAGTAATGTCAATCTTCTATTATTTAGGTATTTAACAAATATCCTCGGATGCCCACTTAACAAAAAAATCCTTCGAGATACGTCTACGTCTGGCAAAAGTAGCTGAAAACATGATTGTATGCACGGACAAGTGGTCTGACATGTTTGGAAAGCGAGGTAGGTACTTTTTTTTTTTCCTTTTTTGGGTAAGAAAAAATTGTAATAAAAGTAAGGATTAATACTACGAAAAATATTGAATTAGTACATTTATGATAAATTTATTCTTAATTATTTTTTGACCACAAAAAACTCCAAATTGATACTGATCCCCGACTTTGAGCACTTCGGGTCCCTTATTGCGGGGCTGATTGGGCGGCCGGGCCGCCCGATACATATTCGGCTTTAGGCCTCTTTTGAGAATTTGGCGCATTGGGGTCATAGTGAAATTTTCATTATTTTTTAAAAAAACTCAATTGATATATCACGACAATTTTACCCTTTCTCAGTTTTCATTAAATTTTACTGTTAAATTTTTAAGTTGGATGACACGTGACAGTTGACGGGTGCATCAGTTTGGGGTTTTAGTCTCTGTTTATCACAGCTGTAACATTTTGTGATTTTTCATGATATTAATTTAATTTAACGGAGGTAAATTTATCACAAATATATCAGTTTTAGATTTTTAGTTGTTAAAAAATTAATTTAGGGTAAATTTATCACAGATATACCGGTTTAAGATATTTTATGATAAAAAAAATTAATTTTGAGTAAATTTATTATAAATATATAAATTTGAAATTTTTCGTCGTATTAAATGCTGAAAAGTAACAGCCAACAATAGTCTACAACCCTTGATTGACCGATCAATGTCTCGTATCAGGCAATCCGAAATGGCCTCGCATAGGAAGCGGCAGGTACCAGATTTTGCCAGCGAAATCCCAATGGCTCCTTCCTTTCTTTGCCCAGGTGACCGTTGACTTGAGGGTCGCTTCCTCCTCTAGGGCGGGTCTCATCCGCCGCCGAGCGTAGCGTTCCGACAGCGTCTTACAAAGTGACAATGGAGAATTGAAGGAGTCGTGTGTGTGTGTATATATACCAGCGAATGTTTTTGGTCGGAAGAATCGAAGTACCACCGAGACATGCATTCTCAATCTCAACAAAGCCGAACGTTAAGGTTCCTACTGATGATGACGGTTTTTTTGGTAAAACCACTGGGCATTGGACACTCGTCCTCATATTCCAACTCGACGGGATGACCCGGAAAAGCTAGCGATTCGGTTGTTTGGAGCCGAGGTTGGGTCGACCCAATGGCCACACCCACCTGCCATAATATATATTAACACTTGTCACGTTGTATTTTCGTATGTCTTAAAGAGCTGGCACCTTAACATAATTCGATGACCATCTGCCAAATCTAACTTGACAGTTGAAAGTAGAAAAACTTTATAACCACCAACCGTTTAGAAGATGAGAAAAAAGTTCGAAACTTTTGACTCTAGGACTAAATGACACAATTTCTGTCATTCTTCCAATTTCTGATTTTAAGCATTGGAAGGCCAATCCGTGTGAAAAGTGCCAATGGAAGGGCGGCCAAAACCCGACCCTCCTCCGTTTTGATTTGGTTGACTTGAGTTTGATTCGATGGGGCTTTTCTTTTTTGGCTGATCTGAGGGGATAATTATCAAAAAAATCTGAAACCTATTGTGCGAATGCTAATTTAGTTTTACATAATTAAATTTTGCCAATTGAATCCTAAACTTTTTGACGATTTGCCAATGTAGTTTTTCCGATCAATTTTGGCCGAAAAGTTGCTAACACGAACGTCGGCTGTCCTATGTAGCACAGTTGGCGCTTTAAATTTTTTATAAATTTTTTGAAGTTTATCGTTTTTTTTATTTTTCTTTCTTTTTTTTTTCCAACAAATCTAGCGAGGGCCATTGGCCGACCCTTGCCAACCATAGCCCTTGTCGGTTGTGGTCGAGCAGCCTAGCCCTTGCCAAGTGGTCGGTGACCATCGCAAGATTTGGTGGAAAAAAAAGAAAAGAACAAAATATAAAAAAAATTATAAAAAATAAAAAATTGTAAATGGGACGGTCGGTGTCCACGTTAGCAATTTTCAACCAAAATTGATCGGAATGACTATTTTGACAAATTGTCAAAAGGTTTATGACTCAATTGACAAAATTAAAAGGTTTATTACTGAATTGGCATTCGAACAATATGTTAACGACTTTTTTGGTAATTTACGCGGATTAGTTTCTTCTTTTGCTTTTCTTGGTTTAGGGTAATGTTAGGTAATTTCTTCATTTGTTCTCTCTGTGTACACATTTAGGAAAATTACCAAAATAGTCCTAAACTTGTTGCAATTATGCTAATTCAGTCATAAATCTTTTTTTTTTGTGCCAATTGAGTCCTAAATCTTTTGCATTCGTTCCAATTTAGTCTATCCGGTCAATTTTGGCCGCCCGGTGCTGACGTGACACGGCTAGTGCCACCGTGGACAATTTTAATAATATTTTTGATTTATTTATTTTTTTCTCTTTTTTTTCCTTCCCTTCATCCTCTGGCCAATGAGGTCGACTGGTGAGGGTGAGCCTCGCTTGCCCCTAGCGAGACTTATAAGCGAGGGCAAGCCTCGCCATGGCCTCGCTGTGATGTGGAGAATTTGACATATATCGAATCATGTTCTCATATTTATTTGGAAAAAACCACCAAAAACCCTAAACTTTCCCACTTGTGACACATTTACCGAACTTTTTTTGTGACACCAAAACCCCAAACTTTGTTATTTGTGACACATTTACCCCGATATACATTGTCCATGGACATTTTCGTCTTTTAGCTTTTTCTTTTACTTTTTTTTTCTTTCCGGCGAGGGCCACCCGCCGCGCCTGGCGAGGCTCGCCGCCTCGCCGCCTGTGCGAGGGCGAGCCCGCCTGCGAGGGCGAGCCCGCCGACGCCGGCGAGCCTCGCCCTCGCCGGGCGAGCGAGGGCGAGCCTCGCCGGCGCCGGGCGAGCCTCGCCTCGCCCGGGCGAGCGAGGGCGAGGCTCGCCGGCGGCGGGAGCCTCGCCCGGCCGGGCGAGGAGGGCGAGGCTCGCCCGACGCCGGCGAGGCTCGCCCGACGCCGCCGGCGAGGCTCGCCCTCCCTCGCCCTCCCTTGCCAGCGGGCGAGGCGAGGCTCGCCCGCGCCGGCGGCGAGCCTCGCCTCGCACGGGCGAGGAGGGCGAGGCTCGCCGGCGCCGGCGCGAGCCTCGCCTCGCCGCCCAGCCGTGGCGAGGCTCGCCGGCGTCGGGCGAGCCTCGCCTCCTCGCCCAAAGCCGGGCGAGGCTCGCCTGACGCGGCGAGCCTCGCCTCGCTCGCCTAGGCGAGGGCGAGGCTCGCCCGACGCCGGCGAGCCTCGCCCTCCTCGCCCGCGAGGGCGAGGAGGGCGAGGAGGGCGAGCCTCGCCGCCGCGTCGGGCGAGCCTCGCCCGCCCGCTCGCCGGCGTCGAGGCGAGGCTCCCCCGCCAGGCGAGGCTCGGGCGAGCCTCGCCCTCCTCGCCCAGCCGAGGCGAGGCTCGCCCCGACGCCGGCGAGCCTCGCCCCGCTCGCCTCTGTGCGAGGGCGAGGCTCGCCGACGCCGGCGAGGCTCGCCCGACGCCGGCGAGCCGCCCCTGCTCGCCCGGGCGAGGGCGAGGCTCGTCCATGCCGGCGAGGCTCGCCCCAGCGAGGGCGAGGCTCGGCTCGGCGGGCTCGCCATCGCCCGGGCGAGCGAGGGCGAGCCTCGCCCGACGCCGGATCCGGCGAGGGCCCTCTCGCCGGACGGCGAGGGCCCCGCCGGAAAGAAAAAAAAGTAAAAAGAAAAAGAAAAAGCTAAAAAGATGAA